AAACTGTACTAGAAATTTTTCATCCAAAGTCATCCCAAGAGTCTTAAGTCTTGCTGCAATGTTACTCATTTCAGTAACATGCTCATGCATGGTACTTGAACCATCAAATTTCATGGTGGTTAGGGTACCCATCAGTGTGCCGCAAGTGATTTGTCAAGTGTTTGGGAACGTTCTTCCACAAATTTCATATATTCCTTAGCCGTCTCAGTTTTAGGGATAGTAGACTTGATATTCTTTGCTAAGGTCATTCGCATAAATATTAGGCTTAATCTATTTGACATTTCCCAAGCATTAAGGAAAGATATTTCATCAGCACTGTTCTCATCATGAGATCAACAGGTTTCTCAACTTGAAGTGTCAGTCTAAGTCCAAAACACCTAAGTTTTACACACCAATCAGAAAAATTGAACCCATTGAACAGTGGTAGAGATGAAGTGTGCGATGCGGTGAAACAGAAACAGATACTCAAGATATAAAATACTCTAACATTAATGCTTTGAGTTTTAACTTAAACACTTAAGTTTAGATTCAAATAACATTAAATGTATGACATAGTTTTCCTTTGAGTGATACTACATTATACCAATCATAATAAACATAATGATACTAGTTTAATGTCATTTAATTGGTAATTAAATACACTCTAATTAAACATGCATGTTATCTTAGGATAACAGAACACATCTAAGTATATCAATTAACCACAATCATGTTCAAAATTAATAAAATTAATTGATCAATATTTGGGTGATCCATAACAATTTTATAATCTATAAATATCGATATACTCTGGGCAATAATAATCATAATGTCATCTTCATTTATAAGCATCAAACTATCAAGAGTAATTGACAAATAAATTATGTAGTTTGGTATTCACAATACCAAATGTTCAGTCACTTTGGTGACTAACAAACAACATTAATTGACCATTAATTACATAAACAAAGCATTTATCACTTAATGTTTATGTACAATTTTACATATTATTGTTGAGCCACAAAATACACAATAAACTAATTAACGGTAACGGCGGTCATGCATAACACAATTAAGTATTCATATATTTAGTCAAGGTTAACTGTAACAATAAATTTGGCACCCAAACACAATAATTTCAACAGTGACTTTGGCACCCATTGATAACTGGAATTGCAACAGTAAATAAAAGTCTATGCCTTTTCACTAAGAGAAAAGATATATTTACAGAAAATCTACCTACAGAAACCTTAGGCTCCGTTTGATTGGCGAAATTTTTCAGG